AATAAAGACCGGGGCAGTTTCTTAGTGCGAGTCTCTCAGTAGGGAGCTGCCCTTGCTAGCAAGAACTCTGTGTGTTTCTCTTCTCTGAGTCTTTACTGAAGAAGTGTTTTAGAATATTTTCCCTAACAGCTGACATAAGCAAGTGTCGTGTCCTGTAATGACTATACCATATTGCACCACTAGAGGGTGGTGTCATGAAATAAGAGTAAAGTGCAGTCGGGAAAATTTAGAGTTAGAATAAAGTTAAGATGCTAACTGATAACTCAATGTGCATGTTTTTTTCTGCTTAGTTTTTTTGTCATCATGGCTGCAAACGCCTCTCCACTGCTTTGCCTTGCCCTGGAGATCCTGCTTTGGCCTTTAACATGTGGATGCGTATGTTCAACAATTATTTGCACGAAGAAGAGCTACTTTACTTCACTGCTTAGGAACAGAGGGACAAAGGATTTTCTGCTCAATGCCAAATACAGGTGATACTTCCGCCTCTGCTGTTACTGCCCTAGAACAACACTTTTCACCCAAGGTAAATGTTGTTGTGGAAAAACATGCTTTCAGAAAGCGAACACAAGCTTCACATAAGACTGTTATCCAGTATGTGGCGAGCTTGCGTGACCTTGCTTCTAAATGTTTGTTTGATGACAGGACAGAAGAAATGATCCGTGAACAGCTAGTTGAACATGTGTCTAGCCCCAGCATAAGAGAAAGAAATTTGCTTGAACCCGATTTGACTCTAGATAAAGCTGTTACACTGGGAACACAAATGGAATCTGCAGTTCAACAAGCTAAATCCATAGCTGCAGACAGCAGTACTCCAGTCCAAGCTGTGCAGTCTCACTCACACTCCATGCAGGAGCGTGAGTGAGAAACACAAATCCAATGCTCAACCTGCAAAGCCATCTCATGCAACCACACCCACTAAGAACTGTTTTAGATGTGGTTCAAACAGTCATTTAGCCAACCTTCGTCAGAGTCCTGCTGCCAAAGCTACATGTAAAATGTGTCATAAAATTGGACATTTTGCTCGTGTCTGCTGCTCATCCAAGAAAAAAGATGTATGGGAAGTCCATTTACCACAACTCACAGTCCTCTACTTAACAGATCCTTCGCATGCATCAAAAGGATTGCAATGCAGCATAAATGTGAGAACACCTACCTCATCAGCTAAGGACATTGAACTGATTGTGTACACAGGTTCTGCAGTTTCTATCTTGCCTAACCACATCTACAAAGAGCACTTCAGTGATACGCCACTACAACCACCTGACCTTCAACTGGTTACATACACAAAGAAAACAATTCCTGTTAGGTTGCCTGCAAGTCACAGTGAGCAGAGGAAATGCATCTGCCTCAGCTGTGTTCTTTGTTGTAAAAAAAAAGGAACTCCTCTTCTTGGAAGAAATCTGATGGAAGCACTGAATGTCAGCATTGCAGGCAATACTGTTCTACCTCCATGTACTGATCCTACTGCTTCTGTGATGTCTACAAATCCATCACCTGCTTCTTGCATCCCTGCTGCCCCAGATATTGGCTGCGTGCGTGCCTTTGTGTATAAAGTGAAAGTTGACCCAACAGTCAAACCTGCCCGTCAGAAGCTGCGACGTCTCCCGTTTGCTGTGAGGGCTTCAGTTTCAGCAGAACTGAATCGTTTACTCAAAGCTGGTGTCATTGAACGGATTGATGCATCACCATGGGTATCCACAATTGTTGTGACAGGATGGAAAACTGGTGGAATAAGGCTGTATGCAGACCTCCGTGAACCAAACAAAGCTGTGATCACTGATTGCTACCCCTTACCACATGTGGATGAATTGTTTGCCAGCTTACGGGGTGCAAAAGTGTTTTCTACAATTGATCTTGCAAATGCATACTACCAGCTGCCCCTGCATGAAGATAGCAGAGATTTGACAGCATTCATTACACATGATGGACTCTTCAGATTCTGCAGAGTACCTTATGGACTGGCCTCTGCCCCCTCAGCTTTTCAGAAAATGATGGCTGAAATCCTTAAAAAAGACCTCCCAGGTCTCCAAAATTACCTGGATGACCTTACTGTCTACAGTAAAAGTGCAGCTGAGCATGACCAAAACCTTAACACTATCCTGCAGAAGCTCAAAGATGCTGGACTTGTGCTTAACGAAAACAAATGCCATTTTAGGAAGACATTACTATGCTTCCTAGGTCATGTTGTCACTGCTGATGGCATTCTTCCTGATGAGGAGCATATTGATTTTGTTTTAAGAGCCCCTCCCCCATCTGATGCTGTTGCTTTGAGATCCTTCTTGGGCTTGATGTCATGGTACTCCAAGTTCTTGCCAAACTTTGCAACTGTTGTAGCCCCTATGCATGCCTGTGCTAGCGACAAGAACACCTTCACACGGACTTTAGATGCACAAGCGAGCTTTGAAGAAGTTAAAAAACTCCTGGTGAATAGTCCTGCACTGCTACTGTTTGACCCTGCCTTGCGTGTAGTGATCTCTACTGATGCAAGTGACTATGGGCTTGGTGCTGTATTTGCTCAAGTGCAATCTGATGGCACAGAAAAACCTGTGGCGTTTGCTCCCCGCACACTGTCTGCAACACAACAAAAGTACTCAACTATTGAAAAAGAAGCTTATGCTTGTGTGTGGGCTGCAGAGAAATGGAGAACATATTTGTGACGCCGACGTTTTACTCTGCAGACAGACCACCAAGCTCTGACAACACTGCTGAGCACCAAAGGGATTAATCGGGCTGGCATGTGCATCGCCCGCTGGTCTGCCTAGGTTCTCCAAACTATACAGCTGACTGTCTCTCTCGCCTGCCCCTGTCTGTTTCTTCCCATCCCACATCAGATGCAGATCATGAAATGATAGCTCAAGTTGCTGCTGCCATGTCCTCACTTCCAGTTGCTGACTCTGACTCTGCCTGTTCAACTTGCCCTGAACTGGTTGCTTTGCGTTCACAAATATAAAGTGGCTGGCCTGCCTCAATCAAAGCACTTGATGTCACACTTGCACCTTACTACAAAATCTGTAATGCACTCTCAACCCTAAGTGATTATGTTCTCAGAGGCTCAAGGCTCATTGCACCACTTTCAGTGAGACCTAAACTGATTGCACTGGCACATGGAAGTCACCAAGGGATTGTGCTCACAAAACGCCTTTGCCAGTTCAATGACAAAACTGCACATACTAATCCTGCTCCCAGAACATTGTAACTGACAATGGTACACAGTTTACCTCTGTAATAGAGGCATCTCCCACAGCAGAACATCTGTCTACTACCCAGCTGCAAATGGAGCAATCGAAAGGTTTCATCGTGCCCTCCGCACCTCTATCCAGACAGCAATCCAGCAGTCAAAACCATGGAAGGAGACTGTGCTGGATTGGCTTCAAGTTTACCGTGCAACACCGCATGTAACTACTTCCCTCTCTCCCTATGAACTCCTGTATGGCAGAAAGATGGTTACTAAACTGGATGTACTCCCTTTGCCTTCTGCTGTGTCTCCACTGGATAACATTGCACGTCACTCAGTTCAGAAATATCAGTTGAAAATGCAACGTTACACTGATTGTAGGCATCACGCACAGAAACCTTCGTTTCTACCAAGAGAGAGTGTGAGGATGAGGAAACCCCACCATGTTCCCAAAGGACATCCCAGATTTACCCCTCCTATAACAGTAACAAAAGCCAAAGGCTCAAAACTTTTTTTGTATGTCTTGTTTTTTTTCTTGAATAAATTTCATCTAGGTCATAATGGATGGAAAAACAGAAGGACTAACATGACTGTTTTATGTTCAGCAGGCATAGAAAGCACTGGATGTCTGGGGGTCTGGGTCTCTTCCATTCCTGCTTCATGTCCTGGGGGCATATGGCTCCCTACACCTACTATTAGACATTTAGATGGAGAAATCTTATGAACACAAGAGCTCTTACACACAGAGGTGTACAAACAGGTAATCACAGATGCACAGTATCTTGGTCGGCTGCTGCCTCTAAACACATAATGCATTATTAGTACTCTATGCTGCTCAGTAACATTTAATATTTATTATTTACTGTTACTTTTGCATATGTTGGTTGTTGCTGTGGTTTCCCTGCTGTTGTTTTTTTTTTGCTCATTTTTTTTCAGCAGATTTTCAGTGTCTTTTCTCTCTCTATCTCTCCTCTCCTTCTGTTAACTGTCTTCCAAACTTCTCTTTCCTTTTTCTTTCTCTTTCCTCTCCCCGTCCTATCTGTTCTGATTGTAATAACTCATAATAAAAAATCCTCTATTTTATCTATCTATCTATAAAAACTATTACTATCAAGTGGACCAGGACAGCAAAAGCGGAACTTGGTCAACTTGGGAACATAAATCTGCTGGGCTTTTTCTTGGGCTTCAGACAATAATTCTGATTGCCGGGCAGGACAGGCAAGGACAAAAAGAAAGAGAGTAAACATGAATGTCCTTCCTCTGTGGTTCTTTTGCTGTCTGCAGGAAGAACAATGGGGCTTAGTTGTCTTGTGCTGAATATTTTAGATGTTCAGGTAACTTTCAGTCTCAATGACTGTTCTAAGTATTGATATTATTCCTCTACATTTATGTATATATATGTATGCTGTATGTATTCATTACTTTTTCTAAAACTCTCCTGCTCAAACCTGATGGAGTGCAATAAAAAATGGCACAAGAGTTAAAATGCTTAAAATACAAACATTTTTACAAGGCATGTTTACAGCCTGTTAAAATAATAATAATAACAATAATATTAATAATAATAGTGACCATTTGGAAAACATCACCATTATTAAGCACCAGTCTAGCTTGTTCTGCTCTTTAGCAGTTTGTGGTCTGTCCACCGTAGCCTGCCATTATCACAGCTCATGATCTCAGTAGCAGTCTCTGCAGATGGGTATTTGGTTGGCGCTTGCAGGTTATGTTTTCAGTAATATTTTCCACTGAACCCTGTTATTATCTTTGAGTTAGCACGCAAAAAGACTCTCTGCTAGAAACTGATTGCAATCGCAGCAATGCACATGCAAGTGTGGGGGCTGGGTGAGGAGTTTACAGATGAAAAGCCTTTTATCTCTGCTTGTTGCCACAAATAAAATAATTTCTAAATCAGGTTATTTGTCTTTATACTGTGACACTGATATCTGTATTTGTAATTGTCATACTTTGTAAATCCAAATTTTCAACAAGGTTTACATATATACACAAAAACACATCATATGTTTATACATATATAAAAGTGACAAAGGGCAGCGCTAAGTGGCAAAATTCACCAGTGATATAATGATATAAGAACAAACCGTCAATGAAATAAAAATTACTAACAGCAATGAAATGGTTAAATGTACAGTTCTGAAAAAGACATAACAAGGTTTCCAGTTGTTACGAAATAAATAAGAGTAACAACTTGGACTTAAATATTCTGCACTGTGACAAAATCAAGGCTATAATGCAGTGACATTCCCGCATTTCAGTGTCTTCTGCTATAATAGCACATGCACACAAGGGTCATCCCCACAGCAAACACTACAGTTGTTGTATCCCTTTGTTCTTGGATTATAGTGAACAACCTTTCTTTGTGTGTAATTGCTCTCACGGTTAGAAAAGGGAGACAAAAGGCACGTGACCTGCTAAAATAGAATAAAAATAAAAATACATGAGCATAATATTTACATGATCATGAATTATTCCATTCATATGAGTAACATGTGAAGCCCATCGAACTGCCTAATCTAATTTTGTCGAACACAGCAAAAAGGTAAAATGAAGATTCAAGTGTGATGCACAAAATTTTAAATGACAGTTGCAGAGATGTGTTAAAAGGCTTGTTCAACACCATGTGGGGTCTGTTTCTGTTGAAAGGACAACAGATTCTTCATCAGAGCTCGTGTTATTTCTATACTTCACCACAGTGTAATCAGCATGCTGCTCTTCTCTTGGCTGAAGTGGCTCTATGGTAGACAAAAGAGGATCTGTGTGGTTTTTAAAGAAGTAGACTTTGCTGTAGAGGACTTCATCCTCCACCTGTGGCTCACCTAAGATGTCTTCACACACAGGATCAGGATTTAGCTGAGAACAAAAAGCGATACATCATAATTCACTTAAAGATTTGACTCCTTTGACTCTGTAAGAAAGATCATTCAGTATGAAAATGTGTTTTCCAACTCTACAGTAATCTTTACCTCCACTATGTTGTTTGATGTTTCGTTTGTGGAAGACTGACTCGTAGTCCTCTTTTTTCTGATTATTGAAAGTAATAAACAGAAAAAATAAGTGAGTTCATGCCAGAGATAAAATGTTGTCACTTTGAATCAAACACCGTGTTGCTTACCTAATCAAAAAGAAGAAAAGGAGAAGTATTGAAACCAGAACTATTACAGAAACTCCAATTGTCCATGTTCCTGTGATACTTTGGACAGTGAGAGTCTTTGGAGCAGAGCTGATATCTTTGTTGGTTTTCACAGCACAGGAGTAGCTTCCTGCATCCTCCCTGCTGACTGGGTCTAGGATCAGATGTTTGTTCTGGTTCTCTCTCGGGGTCAGAGGTCGACTGTTCAAGTACCAAATGTAGTTTGTGTTGTCAGTCAGAGGACAGCTGGTGCTGCAGGTCAGTGTGACTCTCTGACCCTCTGTCACCACTGCAGAAGGACTCATCTTCACTCTCAGCTCTGAAAGACGAACATTTAACAACAACAATAATAATAATAGTAATAATAATAGTATTAAGGCAAGACATGAAACTCTTCCAAATCGCAACATGAATTACTCACAAAACATGAGTTTTAATTGAGGCCTGACTGCAGGCAGACCCTCCAGTCCTCATATTCAGTTAAATAATAAAACATTTATTTGACTTTGAGTAGTTTTCAGTTTAAATATTATATTTTCTTAGGTTAGGGTGTCATTCTAAATGTGTGTTTAAGATTTCGTTGTTAGTTATTCTCAGGTTTTTCCTGTCCTCCTATGTCTGTGTTTCTGTTGTTGCCCATATTTACTCAGTTTTATCTTTGTGTTTACTTTGGCCTGTTAAATTTGTGTTTCAGTCTCAGTGTTACTTTCCTGTTTTATTTTGTTAGTCTCTTGTGTTGTGTTCAGTTTTGCTTCCCTTGTCATTAGTCTGACTTATTTCACATGTGCCTTGTTTTTCCCAGCTTCCCAGTGTTCCTTGTCACGTTGCTGGTTCCTCATGTTGAGTGTGCGTCTCTGTTAGTGAGTATTTGTGTCTCTGCCTGCCATGCAACTGTGGTGGATCATAAATTTGATTAGTTTTGAAGTTGTACATCTCTGTTCCTTACATTTCATGTCATGCCCTTATTAATGTTTTATTTGTTGCTTTGACTGTTTTCGAATAGAATATGCAGTGGGAATATAGTGGGAGATAAGTAGTGAAAGTTTTGCCTGGGTTGATTGTGCATCGATCCATTGTTAATGCCTCAGGGCTCCAGTAGGTGGGTTCGCGCGCTTCCTCCTTCACTCAATACAGACGAGTGAGAGTGAGAGCTGCGTGTCTGTGCCTTTCTTTCACCTCTCCTCACTATTTCCCCTGTTTAAGGTAACTGTCATGCACAAATTTATATAAATGTGTGTTACTGTTGATTATTACATTGTTATCATTGTTCATTGTAGCGGAAGATGTGAATTGCAGACTATTTTGCTGAGAAGTTCCAGTTAATCTCTGTTGCTGCGTATGCTAGTTTTCGCTATTACTCCGCCATATTGTGTGAAGATTTTTCTGTTACGATCTGTATAAGTTAACTACTGAAAGACATGCAGTACTTAAAGTATTATTTCATTGCTGTGGAAAGTTAGTGACTGTGTCAGCTAACATGTGCGAGTTAAAAATATGTTTTTGTCTAATGCTACAGTTCATGTTATCTAAAGTATTCTCATCAGCTAATGCAGCGAACAATAGTGACTTAGTTTGGATACAGTTGTCCTGAGACTGAGTGCATCCATAAGAATATTGTTTTGGTTGTATTGCTTCTGAAACTCAATACAGACGAGTGAGAGTGAGAGCTGCGTGTCTGTGCCTTTCTTTCACCTCTCCTCACTATTTCCCCTGTTTAAGGGCACAACATTTGGAGGCACCGCTGGGATGATTGATTCGAGGACCATCCCTGACCTGTAAGAGAAATCCTCTCGTTGATCATCCCCCCCAGACGACCCAGGTATCAGAAAGGAGCATAGTAAAGCAGCAGAGACATCGCTAGACCTACGTTGGTATCTGTATCCTGAAGTGAAAAAGTGGCCACTAGGGGGCAGTAAAAGCCAACTAAGTCTGATCATTTCTCAACTGACTGCTTGTGCTAACTCCTCTGACAACATGGAGTCTGAATTAGAAAAGCTACAGCTGGAGATTAAAGGAACATTGTATCAACTGACTTTAGAGCAGCTGACTAAATTATGTGATGTACTTCAAATCTCAGGACCAGGAAAAGAGTTTGTGATTAATAGAACGCGCAGTCAGCTAGTCTCGCATTTAGTTAAGCACCTTGAACGCACCGAGCTGGCTACCCGAGAGGACGAAGGTATGTCAGAACTTCTTAATGTCCAGGACATTATAAGTGACATACAAATGGATAAAAAACAAGGTGTGAATGAAACAGTGGATCCAGCTGTTCAGGACCAGGAAAGTAGCCAGGAGGAGATAGAGACATTAAGACTGCTCTTACAACAAAAAGAGGGTGAAATGCATGACTTGATGAGGAATAGCATGAATCCTGCCTTAAGTCCTCGCACCCCAGTGAGAAACATTGTTCCAACAGCACCAAACAGTTCCATGTGGCGCAAAGATTTTAAGATATCAGGCCAAATAGGAGAGCCGGGGCAAAAAGACAGGCTGACATTCTCCAGTCTGGCCAGACAAATTGAAAGCGGGCTCAATAGAGGCTACCCAGAATCAGAAATCACTGATGCTGTAATTCGTGCTATCACGCCAGGCTTGCAGCTAAGGAGTTATCTTGAAGGAAAAGAAAACCTCACATTACCTGCTCTTAGGAGAATCCTCAGGTCTCATTACCAGGAAAAAGGTGCCACAGAGTTATACAAACAACTTACCTCTGAGGTTCAGAGTAGTAAAGAGACACCCCAAAATTTCTTGATCAGGACAATGGACTTGAGACAGAAAATCCTGTTTGCTTCTCAGGAAGTTGAGTCCAGTCTAAAGTATGATCCAGCACTAGTCCAGAGCCTTTTTATGCAGATGTCACGGGGTGGAAAGGGACAAGTCATCTAAGTTTTTCTACTGTGCATGTTTTGCTGCGTTTTACCTTTTTAATATTTTAATATTGTACACTGGTTTATTTTTATGAGTTTTACTGCATGTTTTAATTGTATTGATTTGATGACTTGTCCTGGAAAGACTCCGCCCCTACCTGATAATAAACTGATCACACCTGCGAGAGATCCCAGAGAGGCCAATAAGAGGGCCTGGCAGACCAAAGTCAGGGGTTCGACCGAGAGGCAAGAGAGGACTGAAGCATGAAGGCACCCATGAGTGTCACGGGAACGGACGAGAGCCTGGAGTGACACGGAGGCTTAAGAGATGGGGCCTGAGAGGCCTGACGTGAGGCTTTAAGATAATTTACAGAGTGACATATAAGGCGGCTAGAGTTGGCTAATGGAGGACCAGCGCGCAGAGGCACCAGTGCAGAGAGTGACAGTACCAGCGGGGAGAGCGGAGACAGCACCAGCGGAAGGCACGGGACGGCTGTGTGGCCTTGCAGTTTTAAAGAAGCGGCGGGCGGAGTTGAGAGCTCTGCCCACCCGGGGTAAGTCTTCGACTTATCCCCTTTTATTGAATAAAAACTGCCGGAAGAATAGTGACTGCCGCTCCTCCCTTTCTCTAGCATATCAACACGCGAATGCGGAAAGGAAAGAGAGGACTCCGCTGGATTTCTTAACTCCCTGGGACTTTTATGCTGTGGTGGATCCCACTGGACTTTTAATGTTGTGTTTTATTGATTTTTATTGTGTTGTCCCTTGGCCAAGGTTGTTTTAATTTATCTTACATTTTTAACTATTTAAATATAATAAATTATATTTTAATTCTACAGTTTTTTAATCGTGTGCTTTCCCTTGGCGGCTCCACTGCTCTGTCCGTTTGGAGGAAGGTTTCCTTCCTTTAAAAAACGACACTGTGGAAATAAAATTAGCCTTTCCGCTCCGTTACACATACTGTCCTGACTGGTCTTCAGAATGACAATATTAAAAGTGACCTGCAACCTTACCTCCTGCAAACAAATACTTCAGATGAGTTGTTGCTCGAGAAGGTAAATATTGCAGTTGCAAATGAAAAGGACAAAATGACAGGACAAAAAGAAACATGCCGCTCCATCATGAGTAACAGCTGTAAATACTGTCCAGTCTAATGATTCCCCAGTGGGAAAGAGAAGCACAGCTCAAGAGAAACCAGCCCCTCTACCCCCTGATCTTCTAACAGAAATAAAGGAAATGCGTGCTGACATGGTGCTGCTGAAAGACTTGAGGGCTGAAGTTTCCCAAATCAGAGAAACCATTCAAAAGACAACCCCAGCACCTCAGCAGCCTTTCCCCATTAAGGCTGAACAAAACTGCATGCCATTTTACCACCAGCACCCTCCTGCAGCAGCACAGGAATACCACCCAGCACATGGACCTGGGCATGTGCATGGGACAGCACAGTTTCAACAAAGATTCGCACCACAGCGATATTATCCCTCACCAAGTAACCGTCCCAGATGTTTTGCATGTGTGCAGGCAGGTGAGGCATATTGCCAGCATTGTTTTAGGTGTGGGAGTAGTGAGCATTTCCATGCAGGTTGTAAAGCACCTAGACTGACCAAATCAGATAAAGGGAGCCCTTTAAACTAAGGGAGGTTGCTCCCACGGGACATGGGGCAACCGACAGCATTGAAAAGTCCCAATGTTGTGCTAACTGTGAGGGAAAGGAAGAGAGTATGAAGTTAAAATGTTGTTCTGTTTATAAAATAACATTGTACTGCTCAAAAGACTGTCAAGAGACACACTGGTCTGTGCACAGAAGGTACTGTAAGCCACATACATGTTCATCTATTAAGAAACAGGAAACACAGTCAAGTTGCAAACCAAAGTGTAGGAAAAGAAGTAATCCAGTGAAGATGCCTACTGTAAAAGAGCTTGTAGGAGAGAAATGTCTCATTCAGTGTTTTCTGCACAACCAAAGAATCCAGGCACTTTGGGACACAGGTTCACAAATTTGTGCTGTAGATGCAGCCTGGAAACAGACCCATTTGCCTGATGTCCAACTAAGAGATATAGCAGAACTAGTAGACCCACTTGAACCACTGCAACTTGAAGCAGCCAATGGGACGGAAATACCATATATTGGTTGGCTCGAGGTAAGCTTCAGACTTGCTGCTAATGATAAAGATCTGCTAATACCTGTGTTAGTGTTAAAAGGCAACCAACAGTCATGCCCCATAATTGGCTTCAATGTGATTTCACACCTAGTTGCAAACAGAGTACAGGATAAGACAAACAATAAGAATAAAGAGAAACTCATGAAAACAGTAAAAGTAGCTTTTCCTCACCTCAGAAAGAGTAGCGCAAGAGCTTTTGTTAATGCAGTGACAGTGGGACAGCCATGTGAGCACAGTGTAAGAACAACAAATGAGAGAGTTGAAGTGCCTAAACACAGCTCCATCCAAAT